TCTCTCCTTTTGAAACCTTAGAAATATAAACAATAATAAAAAAAAGGTGAAAAATTCGGAACACACTAGCTGAAGTACTCGCTCGCTACAACACAGCACTCGTCTTGGCTGGAGAAGAAAACGACTCTAAGGTGACCACTTCGAGCATGAAATCGTCGGCGTCGAACTCGGAGAACCCGTCGCCCGCCGCCTCAACGGATGGCCGATGCGGCAGATAGAAATCGGTTATGTAGAGCGGCGGGTCGACGCGTAGCCCGAAGGCGTCGACCTCGCCGTAGCCGAGGAAGTCGAAGGGCGTCTGGTCCGCGTTGTTACGGAGGACGGAGGTCGGGGAGGGGAAGGGGTTGTCGGAGACGTCGTCTCTAGCGCAAGACGATTCGCTGCTGTCGACGGTGACCGTCTTCATCACGGGGAAGTTGGTTACGGCCTTGGCGCCCTTGAGCTTCATGGCGGCGGCGTCGTACACGGCGGCCGCCTCCTCCGCGGTGTCGAAGGTCCCGAGCCAGACCCTCTTCCGCAGGGTCGGGTCCCGGATCTCCGCAGCCCACCGGCCCCACGGCCGCCGCCGGACGCCTCGGAACCTTTTCCAGCCGCACGGATCTGTCGCCGCAGCGGGTGGCCGCTCGGGCGGCGCCCGACGCGGGGCGGCCTCGATCCCAATCTCCTGGACGTGCCGCTTAACGCGGCGACAGGTGGGCCCGGCATCCTCTTCGTCGTCGCTAGAAGAGGAGTCAGTAGCGTCAACGTCGGTGCAGTGGATGCGCACGACCCTCCTCCGCCGGCTGCTCGCCGCAGCGGGTGCCGTCTTCCTGGAGCTGGCGACGTGCTCGGAGAACTTCAACGGGGCGTCCAAGGCCGCGGCGCCGCGGTTCCCGCGAACGACGGCTGTCGGATTCATCGCGAGGAGCGACGGATCTGGCGGCCGGAGACAGTCCGCTGTTTCATCAACGACGAAAAAGGTAAAGGACAGATCCCCTTTTACTTCACCCTCCCGATTTGAAGGAATCAGAAGCGAGTTCCTCTCCTATTTCTGGATCACAGATGACAAACCCTTTCCGACAATCGAGAGAGGTTTTAGCGAGGGTTTAGGGCGGAGATCAGAGGAGAGAGAAAGAGAGAGAAGCGAGAGAGGAAGCGAAGAAAATATTAATGGAAAAAAAAAATAATAGTAAAAAAGAAAGCGAGGGAAGATTGGGGGGAAGACGAGAAGCATATATAACGGAGCTTCAACACCCCCTCGTCCTTATCTGTTTATTTCCATAATATCCAAACTACCCTCGTACCGGCTCCTCGTCTCGAAAGTGCCACCGTGCCTCTCTCCAGCTGGCACGTCGCCTGGGTCGAAATCACAATAACGCCCTGGCAAAGAGGCGTGGATCAGCACGAATCTTGAGGTGCCTGGCACAATCCGAATCCGATTCGATAAGATCCAAATTGGCGAGGTCCGATTCAATTTCGTTCCGGTCAAACACCGGCGAAGTTGACCATAACATCTCACCTGCTCACCACCTGCCTTTCACATATAATACATATGAATCAAGTGCCGAGTCGTATATTTTATTTCTCTTCGTTCACAGGTCGGACAGATTATGGACTCTGAGCAAATCTCGTACGTCATATCAGATTCGGCAACCATTGACGCATGCGGAAGAACACGTCTGCGTCTTGCTGCAGGTTAATTCTGGGGTTAAACTGATCGAACCTCATCAACTCAGGTTAACTTTACTTTCTATTCTGCTGCCTTCTCTCTCTCTCTCTCTCTCTCTCTCTCTCTCTGTCAGATGGCTGCAGGTTCATGTTCTGTGACATCAGAATGTCTTCTCAGCTCAACACAAGTTCCATCAGACATCCTTGGGGACTGGGACATTCGGTGCTGACCGTGCGAGCCAAAGCTGGAGATCGTTCTTCGTTTGTAGATTTCGTGTGTATTCTAGCAAGAATAGTATGCAGATGAAAGGCTAAGAGTTTGACTATTATTACCTCCTACAAAATTGGGAGAAAGTGACTCACACGAAGGTATGTTCTTCGAAGCTTCTGTCTGTTCATTAGCTAACCCCAATATTGCCTCATGCCACATGAGTTTTAGTTTTGATTTGGAATCCTAAATAGATGTGCTTGCATAAATGAAACAATTAAGATTGCCTGTAGGCCTGGCTATGAATGTCAAAGTGTTGTCAGCACCAAGATCAAAGTACAAGAATATCGAAGCTGGTCGATCTTGGTCTTCGAGGAATTGTTAATGATGGATTCCTTGACGCTGGACATACTTGAGGCTCAAGATAAAGACGATGAATCAATTGACTATGATGGTTCCCGGACACACAGACCTGCTGATTGCAGACACCACAAGGCCAAGCAGATGAAATGATGAAAGCGATCTCCAATGGGTCGCAATTGGCTTAGGTTTATTTGAGGGTTGTGTCAAGCTGATAAGCTAATGTGGTTGTCATTCCTACATGCGGATATATGTATGTATGTATGTATGTATGAAATATTATTAATTAATGAAGAATAATCGAATCTGTTGTGTTGATTAAATATTTTTAGGTAATTATTTGCTCGAGCATCCAAGTAATCGAAGATAATAATATCAAGAAAAGAAGAGATCATATGCAATTATATTTTTTTTTTTATCAAATAGTAATAATAATGTATTATTAGTCTAAGATCAAATCAAATAAAAGAAAGAAAAACTATATTGAACTTTAAAAAAAAAAAATACTTATAGATACTGAACTATTCTTGGACTTGAACTATTTATGCCTAAACACTTAGACTTGGATAGATCTATACATATAGATACCATCTATTTATAGATGTGAATTGATAATTTAAACCAAAAAAATCTTATCTTTACAATTCTATCTATGAAATAAATGATTCAAAAAATATATTTTAAATCTTAATAATCATTTTATATGACAAACAGCATCATTGAGTCTTCGGTAGCGAAAAGAAAAAGTTTATGGACAAGAGGATCACTTCTTCCTGCTGTAAAGTGAACTCAGAGAGCTCGTCTTGAAGGGATTGGGATCCCCAGAGCTAGCTAGCATCCCGGCCACGGCCCCGTGTAGTTGCATAAGATGGATCCGCTCTCAGCTTTGACTGCCAGAACGAGAGATCGTATATGGAGGTGCATTCTGGCGGTGCTGCCGCGGTCACAGGAGAAGCCAAGGTTGCATTGCCACCGACCCTTTGCTCCGAACTCGCTGCCAAGCTTCCCTCCGGGATTCCTGCTGTGCCCAACACAGTGAACCGCCTGAGAAGCTCATCGGTCTCCAGCTCGCAGATCGGGCCTTTCATCACTCGGTCATCCTCATAGTTGGTGCTGGAACTCGGTCCGGCTTCTCCGGTCGCAGAAGAACTTGCATGAAGGTCATGCCCTCGCACCCAACACTGCTGCAGCTTCATCTGTGCCGCCATCTTCGCCTTCGGGCCTGCATCTCTCACGAAGCGTAGCAAGCTCTCTCTGTAACTCGGTCCGCTGTTGTTCTGCGGATGCGTATTTGGTGGTGAGAAGTCAGAATGTGGCATGCAAAGGTAACCAAAGAGTGAACGGTAGTTAATGGCCTTACGTAGACAAGCTGTATTGGCTTCTCCAAAGCCATTGAAACTATTGCCTCGCTCGAATGGTTCCAAGGCCTATATGTGTCCCTCCGCTGCACTCCGCTCGACTCGGACCAATCTGCAAAGCGTTGTGAGAATCAGATTGCAGGATACGAAAGCTCAGACTCATATCATCTCAAATAATGGACTGTAATCTTACCATCGTCGCTCGGAGAAGCTACCTCTGTAGGTTTTTCCTGCAAATCCCAAACCAGTTAGAAAAGCTTCGAAGAAGATGATTTATCTCACAGACTTGTCTAACCTTCTTCTTTCTTCCTCGTTTCCTCGTACTTGTTTGTGCAGCATTGGAAGGTTGCAAAGCATCGGTCGCCGACGCTGCAGCATTTGCCGCCTTCTGCTCTTCTAGGGCTTGCAATCTTGCGCTTCTCCTTTGCCCTCCTTCGGGCAACACCACATGTTTCTTTCTCCTTGAAGAAGAAAATGGCACCGAAATAGTTATGACCATAACATTTCATGAAAGTTACTTGCGTACATAAATTATGATCCATCATCTTCTTTACGACGATCGACTCACGAACAAGAAGATAATGATTCACCAAAACATAATCCAAAAGCTCATACAGATCTTGAAGAAAGGGTAAGATCTACTGTTCCATAAGGAAAACACCTGAGAGAGAGAGAGAGGGAGAAGGCGATACCTCAGAAACACCATCTTCGAACTTCCTGTGCATGCAACTCAGAATCTCGTAACTCAACAGCGATGAAGCATTGGAGACTGATATATAGCAAAGCATGTTGAAATTGTAAGACAAGGGGGGGTGCATCGACAAGAGCAAGGTAGGGGATAGGAGAGGATGAAATGTGGTTATTAAATGCGAGAAACACTTGGGAAAGTAATATTCTACGTAGATATTTAGCTTGTTTTGTGTACATAATAAATACACTAATATGCGACAAATTTAATGTATTCTAATTGTAGTAGTGAAAAAGGATAGCATTCAAAATTAGTTTCCATTCAAAGCCTGTAGTCTTGTTTTTATGATGGAAATAGCTCATACTCATTTTAAAGCGCATTCAATGAAATCAATAGTAGGCAGGCATGGTTGTTTTTATCCATGCATCAAAATGATCATATTGCTAAGTATGACATGCATTCTCAAGTTCTTTTCTTTATATATTGTTCCAATGGATTCTTGGTTTTATTGAAAGAAAATATCATTTTTAGGGAAAATTAAGGAGCTGAAGAGTGGTAATTAACCTTCGATATCTTTGATTATGTGTCTGTCTGTATTGGTAATCAGACACATTTTGGTTTGTGTGGAACACAAGGATTGACATTTTGGTCAGACCCAACAATGGAAGCCTGCATCACTAAGCACCATTTAGTACCCATTCATGTGTCTTCTTCCTCTTTGGCTTTTCCAGATTTAACTGGCGGACACACACAAAGAATCATGTAATTGTTGACAATACATTCATGTAATTGTCCAGCATTTACATATTGCCTTGCATGTCAACCATCCATATTTGACTTGGTTTGACAGTGGTAAAAATGGAAGCACAGAAGGAGAAGCATGAAGGCAAAGTCAATATCTCTCTTTTTCTGACATTAAACTGCAAAACACTTTGTTGGATTCCACAAGAATATAAAGTTGCTAAAAAGACCACTTCTTTGTGACAACTGAAAGCTTGCTCCCATTATGTTTTCTTGGTTAGTTTCTTGTGCTAGTGATTTAAGTAGTCAATCAGCATCTTCTGTTCTCTTTAATTTCTCCACTTCCTGTGATTAATTGTCACTTGATCTCTTCTCCAAACCATATCACAGTATGAGGAAGATGTCCACTGGTAAGTGAAGGTTATGCAAGTAATTGAAAGCTGGGGGGGAGTTCCATGGCAGAGGAATTATATGAACACCTAAAACAAAGAATACTCATGCTAACCACAAGGACAGACTCCAAACTCAGAAATTTCAGATTAAATTCACTGCTACATGCATGAAACCAGCAATTTTGTTTTGGGAACAAAATGTTAGATCTATGACATGCTTTTGCAGGAGCTTGGTGGCAAGAAGGGTTCCCACCATCCAAACTCATATTTTGGATATGGCGCAGTCCACTTTTCAGGCCTTTCGAATTCAAGATCAATGGGGTTGTAAGCCAAAGCTTCCTCTAGAGCGTCGGCTTCAAAGCTTTCTGCTAAAACCCTGTCCAGTCTCAGCTTCATGAACCTGTGAAAACCATGGGAAGCAACTTTAAGATGAGGAAATCTGATAGCGAATGTGAATTCTTTTCTAGGTTCCAGCTATTAACCCAACATCAATTTCAATTTCAGACGAGATGGATTCAGATTGAGCATTTTCGTTCGTAGTCTAAACTCATGCAACCAAGCAAAAGAACTCTAGATATTTGTAGTAGTCCAGATGAAGTTGGAAATGTTTCTCCGACATAACATATACGATAAAAGAACATATATATGAAACAACTGAGTAAACACTTTCCTGTGCAGGTTAAATTCAAATAGCAAGTAAAATAGCAACATATTCTTGCGGGTGGGAACATATAGTTAATCCGATCAGGCTTCTTTCCAATCACTACAAAGTAAACAATCTTGAGAATACAGTAGACCAAGCCCCCGACTACATGTTCAATTAAGATCTCATGTAAGAAAACATTGTTAACATCTAGTTGGCGTATGTGCCAGCCTTGAGTGAACATGTAAAATAGCAAGATATTCTTGCAGGTGGGAACATGTAGTTAATCCGATCAGGCTTCTTTTCAATCCCTATGAAGTAAACAATCTTGAGAATACAGTAGACCAAGCCCCCGACTACATGTGTTTTCCTGAAACTTTGAACACCTTAATTCATTTGTACTTATGGTTTATCCCTCTGTAAAGTAATACAGTATCAAGATGAAGTCCTAATCTTTCGATCAAGAATTTCTTTTCTCGGTGTTGTGCCAGTTAGTTCCACAGTTAATATAATAAAAGGCTCACACAGATTACATGCCAATACAAGAAACCAGAGAGCATGAGTAGCTGTTTTATAAACCACAGTGCTTGCCTTCTTTATATCATAACCATTCCTGAATGCTCCTTACATCATTGTCAGAAAGTCGCAAAACTACTGTGCTTAGTCTGGTGGTTTGTGATTTCCTAAAATAATCTACCAAATCAGATACGATTACTCAGGTGATTATAAGCCACATTGACTGCCTATCTACCTGGTTCATCTTGTGGGGTAGTCTTGACTGCTATCAGTATAATTATTTGAGAGTCAGAACCTACATAACCTATGATTTTTCTTTGCTTCGCAATTATGACACTTAAACAAGTAATGGGTACTATCGGACTTCGGAAAGACACAGAAATTAAACAAAGAGAAGTTCTTTGCTTTGCAATTATGACACTTAAACAAGTAATGGGCACTATCAGAGTTCAGCAAGATACAGAAACTAAACAAAGAGAAGTAGATTCAAATATAATAAAGTTCATAAGTGAACCTTGTGACAGTCATACATTGTCCTTAGGTAGGTGTAAGCTATATTTCTTGCATCTGGAATTCATAATCAGATTTGTCTGCAAAAAAAAAAAGAAAGAAGAACAAAGAACAAGAACTTTCGACAAAAAAGTTGCGCCCAAAGTTGGATGGATGCCTTTTGTTCATATCATACTTTTTGGCCTTCATTTCCAAGTTTAGATTCGACTTTCTACCGGAGAGCACCAGCATGACCCCCCCATCCACTCTCTCTCATTACCAACTCTCAAAATGAACAGCTTACAAAACAAAATAGTGTTCCTTCTTCCTTTTTACATGGCAAGCATTTAAGAACAATAATCATGCAAACAAAGAAAATAATTGAAATGAGCAATGGCTAATATAAAGTAACTAGTGAGGAGAATTACGTCATCCAAGGTCCATCTGTGGAGACAAGAGCCACAGCAGGTCTATTTAATCGCTTGACGATGCCGGGGAACCTGTCCAAGAACTTGGGCTCAACAACAAGCCAGAAGTCCTGCTCTCTGTTCCGCTCCTCAAAGTTTCGGCGCCGCTCATACAGTAGCTCCTTGAAGTGTTCCTCCTCATCCAGCATGAATTTTGCATTGGCCACCACAAAGTGGTACCTCCTTGGTTTTTCCTACAGTTTTAAGCGACTCATATCAGAAGATCCTCAAAAGAACAGCTACATTAACTGAGGCTTAACTAATCATTGACACTCTTGCAAAGGGTAGCTCAGCTTGAGAATACATGCACTTGTTATGATGGACTTGTTCATCTATCCTAATCTGACACAGAAGTCTTATCTTCTGAATAACTAATACTAAGAGAGGAGACTTCTTATCATTGCAGAACTGAAAGAAAAAAAGGATCTGAAATGTGTCAGCTGTGTGCATCGGATCCTTCAGAAAAAGAATTCAGCTTCGTCAATAAACGTTTCGTTCACTAATCTAGGCAGAAAGAAGGGATTTTTAGTGGATAAACGCCAATTCATCCCAATTTCACCAAACCTGTAGCAAATTGCAGTCATGTGCATCAATCTATTCACAAAAGAAACAAGCTGCAAAACCAGACATACAGAGAGAGAGAGAGGGAAAAAGAGGAGGATACCTCTTGGGCGGGCTCCGACGAGCCGAGCTGATCGGAGTCCACGGCTACAGCTCTGACGGCAGGGAGTGACGAAAAGCAGAGCTTTTCATGGAGGTTGCGGGTTTTGTGGTGGGAGTTGAGCGGGCGGAGAAGAGAACGCCTCCGAGGGAAAGATAGCACATTGCCTCGGCTTGGCGCAAAGCCGGCGCACGGGCCGAGGGTGAGAGTCGCAGGAGCCACCATGGTCGGCCCGCCTGAGAAAGGAAAACTTAGGAAGGCGAGGAGCAATGGCGACCTTATCTCGAACGATACATGCCTATAAAGATCGTAATGCTATTGGTACCCAACGCCAAGTGGCTGTCCCATCTCACCCTCTCAGTGATGAGTTGGTCGTTCCTCGTCTCGAGGAGTGGCTTGTTTTCTAAATAAATAAATGAATAAATAATGGTAATTTTCATTTTACTATTTTGTTACTGATAATTCTTTATATATATATATATATATATATATATATATATATATATATATATATATATATATAGTTCTTCTAGAACACCTTCTCCAAATCACACACGCAAACTACCCTTCTATAAAGTGTTTTTGGGGCCCACCGCGTCGGGTGTGGGACAACGTTGGGTGAAAGGACATCGGTGTCTAATTTTATGTGAACTTTCTTTTTATCACGGGGAATCGGGATTGCCGATCCAACGGTACAGATCGCAGGGATCAACAGAGAGCCCATTGTTAAATCTCGTCCGTCAATTCCTCCCCCTTTAAGAGCACCGACTCAGAGAGAGAGAGAGAGAAAGAGAGGGAGCGAGAGAAGAGAGGGAGAGAGAGATGTCGGCGGTGAAGGCGGTGCGACGGGTCCAGGAACGGGGCAGCGGGTTCTTCGACCCCGATCTAGGGAACGCCCTGGTACCCGATCTCTGCGTCGTCAATAAGAGCTCGTCGCTGTGGGAGCTCCTCGGCCAGATCATGGCATCTCGCGTCATCTCTCCCATTCACGCCCTCGCCCTCCTCATCTCACGCGCCGGTAAGGACGGGACCCCAGCGATCTCCCTGATCGTTTCTTGGATACTGATTTCTTTACGCTTCTTTCGTGTTTCCCGATCGCCTTTTCCTTTCGTGTGTCTCGTTTCTTGATGACCTTCGTTTCATGTTTCTCGTTTCCCGATGATCTTCCTCTCGTGTTTCTCGAATATTGATCACATTCCTTCAACGTATCTCGTTTCTTGACGACCTTCCTTTCGTGTTTCTTGTATCTTGATGGCGTTTCATCCGTTTTCACGAATCTTTAAGTCAGGGCGATTCCTCATCGACTGGTGCATTACCTTGAACACTCACGGTTGAGGTTGGATCTTGTAGAGCCCTGTGAATTCCTATCTTCCTTTAGGTGGGTTTTGTGGTTGGAATTCCTTTTTTGTATTCCTTTTTTTTTTCTCTGAGAGAGCCATGTTTATCTGCAAAGTCTAGTCGACGTTGGAAAATGGCATCGAAAAGCCAACAGGATTTTCGGGAAGTAACAAAAAGGTCGGTTTATTATCTTTGAGATCATGAAAGATAAACTTGATACCTACGAAGAACTCGTTCACTTGATCTATAACTAGCAAATACCAGTTACAGGGCAAGTGTTAGATAGAGCTATCTATTAGCATATGTCCCATAATTTCTTCCCTGTGCTACTACTTGACAGATATTAATACAATATAAAATATTTTACTCATGCAATTCGGTGATTCAAGTGGAATAAAGAATGATTGAGATTTATTAGCGAATAGAAGAGCATCAGCTGATGGTTATGGATGGTTTAGTGACATAAAGAGAAAAGTCTATGCGCCACAATTAGCGCAGACATACACATCATCCATAACTATCCGGAATCATCAGAACTAACTATTAACCTATATGACTACAGTGAGTACAAGTGTAATCCTATTGTGTTATGTAGCCTTTCTTGAGTTTTAATTTTATCTCTGTATTTGAACAAGGATGCCATTGAGGTGCATCACCAAGTAGTATGCTAGAGGGAAGCTTCTTTGGCACATTGGATATTGAGAAGAGGTTGAGAAACATGAGAAACTATGCTGGATTATGGTTAATGGCATTTTCTGTGAAGGAAAAAAAAATGGCAATCTGTGATCGTGATAAAAATGCTTTTTCTTGGCTCTTGTCACCTACAAAATGCTATTCTAAAGTTGGAATTCTTCTTGGCTCTTGTCACCTACAAAATGCTATTCTAAAGTTGGAATTCTTGCCGATGTAGCATCATGTCTATATGTTATGGATGACTTATTAGTTTGGCATTTTCTTTCCAATTAAGAAAAGGCTCAGAAAATTTTAATGAAGTCAGTTTTGGCTCTTTAGCTGTTCATATAAAATAAATACTTCTCCATTTTATTAGGTCCTAACTGTTTCTTGTGACTTAATTTACATAATCACTGTTGATAGCTAGTATGAATAAAAGTTTGGAAGCTGATTGACACACAGAAAAGTTGTTCAGAACAGTAGAGTCTCAGTTAGGGGCTCATCATATGTTTTTATCATATTTTAGCATAATAAATATGGATTGGTTTGCAGAACTTTCACCTCCTATATCTAGCGTACCTTCAACAGAGACTATAGAAGGGGAATAGAAAAGAGAAAAAAAGAATGAAGAGAGAGAGAGAGTTGGAGAAAAAAAAACATGGTAGAGAATAATTATAAAGTAAAATTTCAGCTTCAACTATAATGCGTCTAGTGGCTTAACAGTCCAATTAGCAATGTGGTACAAAATAGAGGTTCATCTGCTTATGTAACTAATTACAGTTAACGAAAGGAAAGCTAATTTTGTATTCCTACAAAAATTCTTCTAAATTGAAATATTTGAATAGACTAGTTTAAACAGAAAAAAAAATTCCTATATTTTTTTGGATTCTGATCAGACCCTTGTTTGAAATTTAAAAACCTTTTAAAATTGTCTATAAAATAATTATATTTGTAGCCCAAATAAGAGTTGGGACACCCTTGTCAGAAGTAGATAATCCTTGTAGTTTGTGCTTATTGATTATTGAGTCTATTGACTCAAACATGATCTTCAGATTCAATCTTAATGTGGTTTGTGCTTGCTCAATAAGGAAAAGGTTGTCATTGTGATCTCTTGTTCCATCTCAAATGAGGTCTGATTGTTGTCAAATTAGGAGTATAGCTAGATGGTGCGATGTGAGCGTGCTGATTGGAGTCAAGTGTTGTGGAGTTCATGATCAAGCCAATCTAAATTTTGGCAATTGGGTACTGTCTTTTTAGGAGAATTTTGGGCTGATTCTTGATTGGGGGAAGTTGCTCGGACTCAGGAAGGGATCCTCAAGTAGTCTGGATCCAGATCAAACTGATAACAAAACGGTACAAGCTATTAGCCCGAAAGTTGTATTTTGCAGTGTTGTGGCTTCCGACTTGCTCCTTTGAGTTCCGGTGCCTGTAGACGAAGGGATCGCTCAAGGAAGCGTTTCCAGCATTTTGCTTGCCAAACAAGTTGGCCACTGCCCACTCAGCGACCTGTTAGCAAGAGAAGCAACTGTGCAGGCTTAAGTGTATCTGGTTATTATGAATATAATAAATATTGGAAGTTATGTTATATATTATGAATATAATAAATATTGAAAGTGCAAAGAGATCATGACCCTCTTTTAATATTTTTTTAACCTTCGATAATCATCAAAGAAATAAGAGACAAATGTGCATTCGAATCGGTTCCATCCCTTTGCCCCCTCGTCGTATAGTTTTTTTGACGACCAGACCATTTTTGGTTGTTGTTTTTTCCCCTCCCAGAACCAAATTTTTACATGTTATCTCGACTTATAATATTCACGAGGGTAAGGTCAAAAACGAACATTAAAATGCCAAGGTTTCCATCCTCTGAAGGAGAACCGATATTCTTTCTATTCTCTGAAGGAGAACAATACAAGCTAACTACTTAAATGTACTTACCAGATATTCTTTCTATCCTCCGAAGGAGAACCGATATGGTGGCTTGCAAAGACCAATCTTTACAATCTTACCAAAATCCTTGGGGCCCTCCCTCAATTTTTTGTTTTAAATTTACTTCAACAGAACTTCGGAATTTATATGGTGATTTACCATCATTTGGCAAAAGCATAAAGTCGGTGCTTACGCTGAGTTTTGTAAGAATAAAATAAAAATTAAAAAGTAACAGTCAAATATTAGAATCCAACCTTTTTCCCCACAAACAACCTTTGTCTGGTAAGTTCTGGAAGAATAAATTATTTTAGACTGCTCACTCTTTGTTTCATATCAGATGCACACATATCTGATTATTACTTTATTGAAACCATAGTCTCCTTCAGTGCAGATAATGTAAAACAAATCTAAACCAAAGGGGAATACAGAAATAAAAGAAACAACAGTATTTTCCTACCTCAAACAGATAGTGATGAAATAGTCACACTATTATAGGGTTAAAAAAACCTCAGTTTCCATGTTGACCTGGAATTGAAGTCGTCGACGATCCAGAGGGGAAAAAAATTATGCAAGGCTGTAGGCCGTAGCTAAAGGGGTGAGTTACACTTCAATATTTAAGGAGACTGAACTCGGTAAATGTAAGAAGAGTAAAAACCAAGTATACAACGAGAACATTCAACAAATAATAAAAATTTTAAAACACATGATACAACTTGACTTTTTACCTTTAGCACATGACTCTCAGAAAACCCCATAAACTACTACTTTGTAACGAACTCACTACACAACTATTAGGCATAGTTTATATGCCCGCTGCACATCTAAAATTGCTGGACACAATTTGGTTACTTCTACTAAATCATCAAATCAAGCAAATATAAGAGAGTGGGCATCCACCTCTACCTGTACTTTAATCATTGCAGCATTTCATACGGTCCATGTGGAGATGGATTACTTCTGCAAAGGTATCATTTCAAGTT